CTTGTGTATGTGCAGTTCATGTTTGTACGTGGGCTGCGATACTGCCAGGGCGCCCACACCTAGACAGGAGGACGATTAGGGTCCTCAACCAAAGTCGTTGGCTCAAAAGCCTAACCGCAAAGCAGCGGTGTTCGGCTGGAAATGCAAGTACATTACCATTTTTTACGGAACACGTCGCCATATATGTTCCAACCCCCAACCTGGAGGGTCAGGTTGGGATACGACCCTCTTTGATATTTGGAGCCGGGACACTCCTATTCATGCCCTTCACAAGTACACGGTTGACAGAACCCATCTGCTAGAAATCCGGATAGGTGGAAACGGTTTCCGCAGAATTCAGGTGTCCGGAGCTTCTGGCTTCTTCACAGTTCACAAGACATTTGTCGTCATTGTGGCGCGGCCTTTTTCGGTTTTAATCAGGGTTGGGATACGCTGTTGGCATTCAAACCGATCAGCCCGAGAGTGGTACGGTAAGGTTCAAAAGCTATCTGTTCAACATCACCACCGTAGCCTGGGCGGTTGAATTCAGGGCTTTCCTCAGAATTATAACTTCGGCATCAAAGTGAAGAGCTTACTGTCTGAAGGAAGCTAAATGTCAGCACCTTCAGTTAGATTAGGGAAAAAACAGACTGTTGCTCTTGCGAATCTCCGGTACGGACTGCGGGTGTTGTCAGACATCGGCTTCACGTGCTGGACGACCTATGGACCAAGGAATACACGGCACTCGCTAGTAGCAAAGACAGGCGATTCCTTTCGGCCTTTGGCTTTGATTCACTTATTCGATGGAAAATTCTGTCCTGAGTTTACTGAACACCGTCATACATCCAATTTTTGAGTGTGGAGTGCCATTTTACTTTCGGTGCATCAGGAGCGGATACTATGGTATTGAAAGGGATAAACAGAGGTCACCCGAACTGAGCTGTGAAGCCTACCGCCTGAGATCACTGTAAGGCTCATGTTATACCAGATCAGACCTGTACTTGGCAGAAGCCGTGGCCTTACTCCATCTATTCCAACCGCCACACCCTTCTGCTCTACCTGCTGTTGTGCACCTAGACACGGTGTCAAACTTGGACGCAGCTGATAGCAACTGACCGTTTCCCACTCTCACCCACTTCGATCCCGAACTATGGATATGACTAGTGGATCGATGGTTCAGCTGTGGATGCCAACTTCATAAAATATGATGTATTTCAAGTGAGAGTTCCTCGAGACAATATTTGCGCACATTTACCATATGCCTTTTCGTCTCTCTCCTTTTGGCAGGCAACGTAGGTGACATCAAGTTTCTTGCAAAAGCAGCCACCGGTAAGATGAATTAAATATATGGACGATTGCTAGCAGTGTTTTACAGTAGACGGTGTTAACCTACAAATGATATATTTCAGTCGGAAGATTTTGGGGATTCACAAGACGGTCTTTATTCAGGAATCACTTTTGCTCAAGGGACCTTTTACTAGGTGACTATGTACCTATCTTTTATTTGCCTTTTCGTAAGATTCTTGCAAGGGGTTTGCCACGACGAAATGTGCGTTTTGTCGGTAGTGATGCTTTCGGATGATTTGGTGACTGATATTTCACCCTTCAGTAAGGATAAAGACCTCTTTGGCTTGTACCACCACACATTTATTATCGCCCATTGTTCCCCGAGACCGTGGGACACGGAATAGCTCAGCGTTCAGGTGTGCAGTTACTAAGTGAGAGGTCCGTGGTTCGAACCCATTTCCGGTTTTTCGAATACTTTTGTCTGGACCTAGCCACTCTGACAGAATCTCAGCCTTTGTGCTTCCCTCGAGTTGCACGTTGACTGTGCACTGAAAAGAAGCCACAGCCGAACGACTTGTTATTTCCATTTTAACCAGGACGATAAAGTGTTTTGTTTTGCCACAGAAAGGGCATGCACCTTTACGTCTAGATGTTGTCTGTCCGTAAGTTATCACATCTATTTTAGTTGGGAGAGCTTCAAGCAACTCGGTAGTCAAGACGGGAGATACTGGTCATGTCCGTGGTTCGAATCCAACCATAACTTTCTGTTTGGTCCTGTCTAGGTTTGGACAGCCCCTTGCTTCCTTAGAGTTGTTTTAGAACAAAAACCGCTACTTTGATGAACAGTGACTTTGTGAAAAGGATTTGGTTCTTATTCGAGTGATATTATATGGGCCTGACCAGTTTAAGCACACTGTGTTTTTACCACCGAATTATTGACGTAAATTTCCAATAACACCACAGCGGCTTCATACGTACAACTCGGACGCTGACAGATCACAGATTGAGCACATCACAAGATCCTCATATCTTCGATCCACTCACTGTAAATAACATCAAACGATTCAGCTCGTTCAATACTCACCCGCTGATACAGTTGGTATATGAGCTGCTGGAATGCATCACGTTTATTTGTCAGCAACGCTGGTGCTTACACCTCCCCCGAGCACTCCGGTTGGTATACTCTGGCGGATTATGACTGTCTACCAGTTCATCGTGAATTCTGCTGTCGTATCGCGGAAGTTCATCATGACTAAAAGCATAATAGTCTTCTTGCTTGTATGCCACATTTCGATTCTGACAGTTGTTGCTGGTGGGCGGATGGTAGCGTCTGCTGTCTATCTGGTCACTGACATGCTTAACCAACACGTTCCGCGTTTTGCGAATCTCCGGTCTGCTTTTATCTCTGTTGTCATTGTTGATCACTGACACACACACAAACATGTGCTGAATGAAACCCCTTGCTGTTAAATCGCTGGTGACTTGACACCCCGAATAGTTCGCTCGACACCATACGTTCAAAATTGTCCATCCTGTCCAATAATGATATGTGTTTTTGCTGACGATGCTTACCACTGTAATGCCATCACTTTCGTTGTTTGTTTTCAGAAATAATGGTGATGGAGCGACTTATGAGAAAGTTCCATACAAATCCAACGCCAAAAAAGAAATATCCTCTTTCATCAAATTCAGCAACTTGTACTGTTACCTTTGGGCAGCCTCTTCGTGACATTGTACAGCGGGATAAATCGGACATACCTCTGGTTGTACAGGATATATTTGATTTTCTACTCACAAATCACGGCTTGGAAGCGCAGGGCATTTTTCGGGTAAACGGGAATTCGAGGACAGTTGAAATGTTGCGTAATTTGATGGACGAGGCTGGAGCTCATTGGCGTGTGTCAGATTTGTCCATGATAGCTTACGAATCAGAACGGTCGATGGATGTCTTTTCTGTGGCGAGCCTTTTGAAGCTGTACTTACGCGAATTGCCAGACAGCCTTGTTCCTGCAAAAATGACACCGCTGTTTTTGGAGGTTAGTTTTTAGATCTCTTTTACACAAGTTCTGCAATCGCCAGTTCATACTGAATCTAGTCTGAAACAAATTATGATTTTTCGTCTTTTGATGGATTTAATCGATCGGTCGTACTCATTTTGAATTGCGAATGATCTATCTCAACCAAACCATCCTTAATGCACATATTGTACACATTTGGTGCTAATGCATTTTACCGTAAAATTACTCCACCAAAGGTGTCGCTTTCGAACCAATTCTGTATCCAAACCAGCACACCATTCTCTCCAACGTCAAATTGTTTTTTGGTATACAAATTTTAGTCGATTTCTCATGATCACGAACCTTTATCACTTATCACGCGTTCGCTTTCAGGTTGACAGTTTACCACTTTTTGCAAGTTGCTTATGTTGCGAAATGGTCCGTCACTTAATATCTTTTATGGTTGCAAGTCGTTTATTTAAAAACAGTAGTAGTGATGCTTATGGAGAAAAAACAAGTATATTTTTTAATAATAAGACACCGGTCTTAGGTATTCTTGCCAATATTTGCTGAAGCGCTGTTATGGGCTTGTAGCCACCCACATCAAACTGGTATGTGCCTTGAGCAAGTGAAGAAAAAATTGATTTACCGTCGAACACAGAATTGGAACAGTTCGATTTGGTGGCCACTCAACTGCGCACCGATGGTGACTCCTAAACCGGTGACAAAACGTTTGCAAACTAATGGCGAAACTTGTCGAACAGCTTAACGGTAATCTGGTCAACCGCCAGTAAACGCACCCGAGATATCATTACTTCGACACGTTGTCACTACATTCGTACATTAGTTGATGCGTTGTTAAGATTATATAAGGCGTTGTGTCTGTGGGGGCTAGCTGAGTGATTTAATATCTTGATGCAATTTATTCTGTCACGTCGATAGTCTAGTTACTTGAGTGGGAAAACCTCAAGGAAGAAGACAAAGATCATCAAATGAAGATCGGCTATATTGCAGATGAACCAATAGAAGAAAGAGCGCTGTGGTTCAGTTGGCTACAACAGAGAGAAAATGAAATCCCAGTGAAATATTACAAAGGGTAGAATTGTTAATTAGGACTTGACCATCCTAACATAAGGGTTATCCCACACCCAGTCCAACG